GGTTCCAATTCATAGGAAAAAAATTATTATTTTTCGACTGCTATGAAAATTCGTATTTGAGGGTTCTTCGAGATGAGAAATACAAATCAACTATGTTCCTCCTTTAAATTATTTGAGCCCTCTTTGCTCATAGGGTAGGTTCAAATTGTTTCTACTTTAAAAATTTCTGATTGATTTTCATAATTTCTTTTCTTTGATTTGTAGGGAATTTAGTAAATTTTCAAATAATGATAGATCTCATCCAGAAAAAAATTTATAATTTTAAGTTATTTACAAATAAATTTTCTTTTAATTCATAACTTTTTTTCCTGAAATTTCGGGTGGATGTTACTATGATTCGTCACTGCCCCATTTAATACCCTTTGGTTTGATACCTCCCTCATATATCAAAATACATCGCTCCTGAGAGCCGGAAATGGGATAGTTACGGCAAAAAACTGACGTATTATATTATAAATATAAACACAGTAACACCTTTTTTTTGGGGGGGGGGTCCTTCCCTTCTTCGCATTTAACGCTATACGGGGTTTTCCCGGGCCAGGGGGTGTGGGTGGGGATTTAAAAGACTCCCCTGGCACCGGGAAGCGAACTCGTGACTATTTTCAATCCATTGCCTCATATATCAGATTGCCTGGCAACGGCGGTGCAGTGCACACACGGCCACCTCTCTCCAACACATTTACATCTATTTACAATATTTACATTGGCCCAAGGGACTTTGAATCAAGCCTTGTCCTCCAAATGTGGAAGCTAGCAGGACTCTAGGAGATCCCAATACTTCTCTTCCATCCACGTAACTGGTTTTAATAATATAACCTATTTAACCTAATAATTATTCAGGGGAAGAAAAAGGTATTTTATGGTTCCAATTCTATGAAAATGGATTATTTTTCTTAAGAGTACATGCTGATATAATATGTTCTTAAATTTAACCACAAACCGCTAATCGAGGACTTGTTTCGATCAGTCTCGCCTATACCTCTTGAATGAATGGAAAAAGATGATACCGTGCTTGATATAATTGTGTTCCAGCCAAGATGAGGATGATTCGGAGATTCACATAATACATCAAGATAACGCATCTTTCACCGGAACTGCCTCGGACAACCACGGGCCGATTGCGCCTGGACCTAGCGCGCGCATCGCGGCCGAGTTTGTATCCCATTAGAAAGGTAGTTATTAGCTTAGAAAGGCAATTATTGGGGTCCCACGGGTGTGGGAGAGGTCCCACGTTGGTCACTAATCAGCACCAACTTTGTTAAAGGCCGTCGCTGGTCGGCGTTATCTCTTCCTCGTGTCGGCGGCTTAGTTAGCCCCGCGGAATCTCCAGCGATGGAGATTATTTCGACAATAAAAGAGCAAAAGGGTAATGTTATAGACATAGATAATGACAAAGTATCTAATGACACAAATCTTGTCTTCCACAAGAAAACGAGAGTACTTGTCCATTTCAACGCAAGGTTACGTCACAATAACCGAGAAAAAAAAAATCCTATAAATCAAGGAGGGAGATTTTTTTTCATTTTTATTTATTTAGAACAACGGTGGCTCCTCAACCATTTACGGGTCTAAATGGTTAAATATAACATATAAAATTTAACAGGCATAACAATTTAAACCTGAATGTAGAAAGAATTAAAACATTAAAATCTACAAAGAGTAAAAGAAATATTAAAGAAAAAAAATACTCAAGGTATACCTTAATGTTAAATTGACACCGCAGCAGAGACACGAGGAGGTATCCTCTTTGTCATTAGGTACTCCTGTGTTAGCCTTGAGTGTCCGATTCGTAGTCTTGCTAGGATAAACGTGGCATTGTTCGATAAACATATATTCTTACTTGTCTAACAGTGAAACAAAAAGCTGGACCAAAATCTATTGAACCTAGGTGTATCTCAGAATCATAAATTCCATGCTTTGATCGCATCATAAAAAGTATTTAATCTGACAGCAACCGGACTCCAACAAGCGCCCAGGAATTGGGAGTCATAATCCACTGTGCTATTTTCTTACCTGCCTTCCTCACACAATGAACCCATTTTAATATTATGAATAATGACCTTGGTGAAAAGATAAGGGCGAAAAGGTTTCTTAAACAACAGTCAAACAAAAAGGTGGTATGGTCAGCATTTACGCTGAACCATTAGTTTTATTTCTTAACACTATGAAAGGTATCTATCTCATAGAGTCTGAAAAAATATTTTTTTGTTAGCAACCTCTTTTTGTTTTATTATTTATATATTTAAATTTACAACTGTATTTAATAAATACAACAGTATATGTGTACAAATCAGGAATAATAACACGAACAGACTTGTCGAGATACTACTCAATGAAAGCACTACCTAAATAGTTCTAAGAAAATGCAGAGTGAATTTTCTCTTCAGGCGCCGAGGAGGATTATAAGGAATCGAGGAAGAATCTAAGACTTGAAACAAGTGGGTTCAGATGAAGTTTATCATGAATGAATAGATATATATATTTGGGTCAAATCAGAACTACTCCAATGAACTACTCCAACTCTAATCCCATTAATATGAGATTTATTTCTATTTTTTAAAAAATGAATTAACAAGATATTTATCCAATTTACCAAAAATGTTGCTCATTAGCTATGAAGATCAAAGATGGAGGCATCATTGTGATTTCAATTATATATATTTTATTTTATTTTTATTTGTTCATGAGATTTACAACTGCATAAATTAAAAATACATACATGTGCACAAGGTAATAATACAATCACATGTAGTGTTGCCCAAAATCGGTCTTGGTCTTGTACTTTGCAAGGACCACCTAGCTGTTGCAACACCAAGAACATGACCGGTAGAAAAATTGATTTTTAAAATAAAAATTAAGGCAAAATAGTTAGTAAAACTTGACAATCTTAGTTACTATATGTTAATAATTGGTATAACCAATATACTTTTGCATTTAACTCTAATTTTTCATTCGGACTTGGTTTGGTTTCTCCTATCTAGAAAATTACAGTAATATCTCTATAGTAATAAGCTAATAAGTAACTGCAAGACATTTGCGCAGGACCAAGACCATGAACAAACCTGAGTTTGCAAGACCAAGACTCATCTCGGTCTCGCATGAAAACGCTTTTGGGAAACTAGTCATTGGTAGCACTTTAATATGTTTTATTTTTTTTTAATTTTATTGTAGTAAATTCATTAAATAATTTCAAAGAAGTTGGTTTCTTCCTGACTCTAAGAAAAAAATTAGGTTTTGTGTTTGTTTTTTTTAAAGGGACACATTAATTGTTAAATCTATTGAAACGGGACTTTTTCTCATAAAATCATAGATTTTCAAAAGCGTTATTAAAATTCTAGCAATTTTTTTATATCAACTTCCACCTAGACTAAAGATACCTCACTTTATAGATGGTGATGTATGGAGAAACTGAAAAAAATAAAGATATCCCTCTTTAAGAAAAACATAGTTGTTTAATATATTTTAATTTGATATTTTTTCACCCCTGAATTATCAGTAAAAATAATTACAATAATTCATTATTATTTTTATTCTTGTTTCATGTTTTATGTTTATGATTAAGTAATAAATTTAAATTTAATTTTACATACAGTTAAAATTCAATACACAGTACTTTCCTAAGCATATTACTGTTCATTTATTCTATTATTTACATGATAACTTTATATAAATAATTTAATTATTATATACGATTGAATTCCGTACTTTAGTCAGATATATTGTATTGTAATTATATCGGTGGTTAATAGCCGAATGACTGTTGATTGATAATATTTGAAGTGGTCAGTACATACAATTGATATGATCATGCCGTTGTTTTGTTTTTCTTTCTGCAGAGATAAAGAAATGACTCGATGTTGTCCGCATTGATGACGCAGTATCTTGAAATGATTCATTGTGGAAAATGTAAGATTCATATATATTTTTTTTCTCATAAGTGAATTAGCAGGGAATACATCTTGTCGGGTTATTACGAAAAGTCAGTAAGTTATATTTAAAAAATAATAAAATTAAATCATTTACTAATTCAAAACACATGATTAGTGGAAAACGAGTTTCCATTATGATTGCTTATCGATCAAAGTTGTAGACTGTCCAGCAGTGTCGAAGAACGGGAGACTCAATTGAATTATTAAGTAATTAGATGAATTTTCTTTACGTGAAATCGTTGTACAGTTCGTGTAATTATTTTTGTCATATAATAAGATTTGTTATGTTTTGACCAACTAAATAAATATGATCGAAATTCACAAATGAATACTTAAGTTCAGCTTCATCAAAAATGAAAAATATTTCACAAATAATTGATTGATTTTAAACTTTAAAAAATATCCAAAATTGATGTAATTTCTATTCTTGATGTAACAGTTGTGGAAAAATAACTCCCGAAACAGATATTTCGGAAAAATCTTATGATTCTAAAATCCGTCCGAATACCTACACAGTTTTTGTAGTTTCTTTGAATATAGTAGAATTCCTTCGAAACGTCAACGATGATAGCTAGAACTATTGAAAATTAAATTTTTCTATCATGAAATAAGGCTGTTTTTGTTTCTTCATCACATTTACTTCAATTTACATAGCTACATTTAGGCCGGTAAGCCATCTTCAAGCCATTTTATCCAACCATGCTTTTTGCATGCAGTCCAAAGATAGGCTTACCTGCCGAAACGTAGCTATATAAATTTAAATAAATATAGTGAAGAAATAAACACCACCTTATTTTATAATATTAGCATATTTTCACCTAAAACAAGCACATATGGATATAATTTTTTGTACTTGAAGGACTCTAAAATTGATAAAATGTGACTGTTATAAATAACAATGAAAACTTTCAATCTACGGCCTTCTACGTGGAATATATTGCAAACCATAAGCAACTGATATAGCACATCTCAAAATACACCAAATGTCCGTTATATGGGGAATAGTTGTGCCTAATAAATATTTTTACATTTTCAGATAACAGCTCGTAAACAAACAGCTTCAGTTACATAATGAGCAGTGAAGTTAGAAAACTGCCCGTCGTGGCGAGTCTGTTTGCTCGTGATAAGGCGATAAGAGAAATACCGAACAAGGGTATGTCATTTTAAAAGTAGTATGGTTTACTTCTATCCTTCTATTTACTCAAAGCTATATAAAATAACAAGGGAAAACATTGGACATCAGTACTGAAGTATTACTATACTAAGAAAATAAATCAAAAGTTGGGTATATATAATATGAAGTATATCAGGGGTCCGTTTTATTTCATTCATATTTGTATCAATCTCAAGTAATTTAAGAAATACAAATAGTTACTAAGATTACTTGTTACTAAACTGGTCACTAAGACGGTTATAGGCTATCTTTTTCGAAAGTTTATTGATCACAAATGTTTGATGAAGCGATCAAACTATTAAAATACCATACAATTCGTTTTTATAACGATGAAGAAATAGTTTAGCAATAAGATTCAGCTAAGTACACCCCAGAACTTTTAAAAAGGATTGACGCAAAAGATCATGATCCTTGTTTGGTGGCTTATTTTCGAACTGTCCAGTTTCAATCAGCGGACGTAAGCCCATCACAGTATAGCAACGAGTACTTTTACTGAAGTTATTGTATGAATTTAAAAACTGAAATTGTAATTTATCTCTTCTCCATAAACTTCTCTTTCTTTCAACACCTCATTTTTCTTTATCCATTGCTCCTAATACCTAGAAAAATAATGTATATTACTAAAATATATATTTATCCAGATGAAGGCCAGCTGTCTATTATTTCTTGGCTTTCCTCTATCCCTTCACGTTCCTCTTCTCCTCCATATTTTCTATCTTGCCTCCTCCGTCCACCTCCCTTTTCCTTTTCTTATTTTTTTTTTTTATTCAACTTCAAGAATTTTCTTTCCATCACTTATATATCTCAATCTCTCCCTGTATTTGGTAGTCTACTCTCATCTCTAGTTGCTTTATTTTTTTCTTTAAGCCGCTTAATGTTAATCTTCTCAGCGTTAATCTCCTTTGATCTTCTTAAGTTTTAGCAGTTCAATCTATCCTTTCCAATCCTCTTCATGCGACCATATAACTTCAACCTTCTATTCCTCATCGATGTCTCTAGATCATCAATGGATACAGCTCCGCATTATTTTTCGACCAATATTCTTCTCCCATCTTCCTTAGAGTATGGACATTCCTCAGTATCTTTCACACTATTTAAGCGGTCTCTATGTTTCCGCTACTTACATTATCCACGGTATTATTACCGTCTTATAGTGACTTATTTCATCATTTCTGTAGAGTTTCTTTTTGTTGCATATGTATTTTATAAAACATCTAATTCTCTTCAGCTTTATTTCCCTAACCTTTTTTAAGCTGGAGGGAAGTGAGGCAATTTAAATATTTGGGAGAACCATGGAGGAGATAAACAAGCGACAAGAAGTAAAATATCTCTCTCTACACACACACACACACACACACACACACACACATATATATATATATACCTTTAATAAGCCATTTCTTGTGTAAGAGTTACAGAATTTCCTGGTATTGAATTGTTATTAAATTGTAAAGAATAAATTATTTTTTTCTGTAGTTTAAAGACAAGCTATGAAAAAAAATACGAACTATGAATACATTATAAAAGGTAGCTTTTTTTTTTTATTCTTCTAAAAAACTAATAGGTTCTGTTACATCAGTAGATCCGATAAAATAATTTTCTATAATAATAATAATTTTCTACGAGCGTTTATTTAAAAAAAGAGATATAATAATAACATGGTTTGTTTCATTCAATATTTTCTTCTTTTATTTTTCTATATATATACATATTTTTATTTACTTGAGTATTCTTTATTCTTTATTTAAATAGTTTTTTTAAAGTGGATTTATGGTTGACTATAGTGAAAATTGAAGAGAAGTTGGTTGGGGTGTTCAGTTTAAAAAATAAAAAGTAAAAATAAATAAATGATATTCTTTTATATTTTTGCCGACGTTTTGGCCCTAAGTTCAGGCCTTCATCAAGGCTGATCCCACAAAAGCTCCCCATAAGACGTGGGGACAGCGCTGATGAAGACCTGAACTTTAGGCAGAAACGTCGAAAAAAAACGAAAATAAATACCATTTCTTTATTTTTTTGACTGAACATCCAAACGAACTAGTTTTGGTTCATTTCTTTTTTTTTATATTTATATAATTTTCATTTTTCTTATTATATATTTTTCATATTTTTATAGATTATTTATTTATATATTAAGGTTTTTTTTGGTATTTTTAAATCTTATTAATTAATTTCATATGTATACATATTTTTATTTTAAGTAGATCTATTTAACAATTCTTTATTTTCATTTGTTTTTATTTTCTTTATTGCGTATTCTTTAATTTTTTTTTACTATTATTTTTTTTTCTCCTACCAAGTTAATAGATAGTTTCATATTAGTATTATTTTATTAATCTTATAACCTATTTTTTTTTTCATATTCAATATCAAAACAACCAACTAAAAATTACTAAAAAATCCACTTCCAAATTGAACATGGTATTACTTTTTAGAAGTTCTGATCAGTCATTCCTCTAAGGTTTTGTTAGCCATTGGTATTGGATTCGGATAGCAGTGATAACCTTGGCTCTATTGATGATTTAGAAGAACATCCAATGAGAAGATATACTCCGAAGCTCGCCAGCGGTAGATATAGCCGAGTTGCCCTTTAGCCACTGACAGGACACCCGCCAGGCAGCTTGTCCGGCCTCTGCCAATTCATTTGAGATAATTGCGTTGGCTGTCCAGTGGCTATCTCCTCCCAGGAGGGCGTTACTCTTTCCATCGTCATAGAGCTACCATGGATATATGTATATATAGCAGATTACTTGTTTTACTATACAGTACAGACATTAAATAATACAGTACAGACAGGCAGGTAGATAATCTATTTTGCTTATTTACCATCTAGCCCAGATATAGGAAGACAGTATAGATCTCTTTTTCCATCTCTCAGGAGTGATAGAATGAGTGGGGATGAATGGGAATTTTGATGAATGAGGCATCAAACGGAAGGGAATTTGATGAAGTGAGAATCTCATTTTCAAAATGTAAAAACTTAACTACTACAACTACAATAAAAGTCATAGAAAAAAATGAGAGGTATCAAAATTTGGATGGGATAATTTCTGTATCCCGGAGGTAAACAGCACCATATCCACTTTTATATTTGTTCAGGGAAGCCAATTTCCCATAACTTTGAGCTACTAAAGTTTGTTTCTTAGTTCCTAAATCTATAGGTTGAAGATAAAGGAAACCATGTCACATTGTTGTATTTGTTCAGGAAACGAATTTTCTTTTTCCTTAGTTAATTATCTATTTAATTGAAAATAGGACATGGTGTAGTTTTCCCGGGGCACAGAATTGTTTTTGTTTTTTTTCTATTTCCACCCAGAGATCAAAACTCCGGAAATAAAGATAAAGGAACTATCCATGAGCCTGCATGTCTATGGTTATAGCTTTATAGAAAATATTAATACTGCAAAATACATTTATTTTTCGGTTGTAATAATGATCTCTATAATACGTAATGATAATTAAATACTATAATTTAAATAAATAATTTAAAGGTATAAACATAGAGGGATCTCATAAGAGCTTTTAATAACAATTTATTGAATATAGAGCAAAGGAATTTAGATTTTTCGAATTTTGAGGTACGGAAAACGAATATCATCTTTGTTTAGCACCCAAAAAATATATTTGATGGTATAATATCTGTATAAAATGTATAATACATGCTTTATTCTTATTTTTGGATAGAATTTCGATAAAATACAAAATTTTCTGCATTTAATTCTAATTTCGGTACCCATCCGATTTAGAAAAAAATGTATATTAGGCATACAGCTATAGTATGAGTAAAATATTGAAACAATTTCCACTGACCTAAGGAATAATGTGGGTTCAAATATTTTTTAAGGAGAAACGAATTTGATATTTGTATTTCGTACTGCGAAAAACTCTTAAATACGAATTTTTATATCTGTTGGAAAATAAAAATTTTTTGCACCAAAATTTCGCCTAGGCCTTCGATTTTTTTTCCGAAAATCACAAAAGTTGTGATTGCTTCGATATGGCTCCATCCACCTACACGTAAATTGGCTTGAATTTACGGCTCTGTAAAGTACACAAAGTAAAGCAAACCAGCCAAATAAATTAGGTTTAGATTTACAAAATAAAAACGTTTAGGGGGTTTCCCTTGATTTATTTTTTATAAAGCCATAAAATCTAAAACTTATTGACATGGTTTTGAAGAGAAATAATCTAACTTTCCAACGGTTGTATTACCGCTGACTTTGGAGGAAATCCTTAGTTGTTATGAATATTATAGTATACGGCAGGAAAAACACTCTTCCCATAAAATTAGGTCAAAATATTTATATTTTTTTATTTAAAATAAACTTCTTATTTAAGACCTTTAGTGGCGCTTAAAATGAATATGATTCTTTTTTTATGACAAAAATTGATTTGGCCTACTTTACTGGAAGCGTCTATGGGTTTTGTAATGTATTATATTTTATGAACTATCGAAGCACAAACCCTATTTCTGAAAATAATGGAAAAGCATAAAAAATGTAATATCATTTATACTGATGCTTCAAAACTGAACGACGAAATAGGATGAGCTATTGTCAACTCTCAAATAGAAAAGTACTTCAAACTTCCGGAGATCTGCTCTGTATTTAGTGGAGAGATGATCGCTATTAGAGAAGCTTTGACTTACATTGATTCAACGGAGAGTAACAAATGGGTCGTGGTAACGGATGCAAAGAGCGCAATCCTGGCCATTGAAAAGAGAACATCGACAACTACACTGGCAAGATCTATTAAAAATATCTGGTGGAAACTGACAGAAAAGGGAAAGGAAATAGTATTCATGTGGGTTCCTTCACACTGCGGAATTGTCGGAAATGAACAGGCAGACAAAGCAGCAAATATGGCGAGAAGGCTAGATAGAAATCCAACAGTTATAATCAAAGAAATCCCTATAGAAGATTTCATACATCACATAAAAAAAAATTGCGAGTAATGTGGCAGAACGTATGGCAACAAAA